GGCGGGGCTTGGTGGGGGAGGGGCGCCGCTGGCCTGGAGGCGGAGCTGGAAGAGAAAGGGGGAGGAGTCAGAGGCCACGCCCCTTTAGGCCACACCCAAAAGCAGCAGCTCAGTTTTAATTAGGCCACGCCCCTTTAAATGGCCACACCCATCTCTTAAAGGGACATGACCCTGTTTTTCAAAAGGTGATGCCACTCTAAGCCACGCCCACTGCTCTTAAAGAGGCCACACCCCTCTTAAAGGGACCACACCCCTCTTGAATTGACCACGCCCAAGCTTACAAAGGCCACACCCACTCTTAAAGAGACCACACCCTCTATTAAAAAACAACCCATTTTAAAGAAACCACGCCCACTTTGCAAAGAACCACACCCACTTTTAAAGGAGCCACGCCCACCTGAAAGGAACCACATCTCTCTTAAAGGGACCACACCCTCCTTAAAGGGCCCACACCCCTCAAAGCCACACCCCCGGGGCTTTTTGGCCCCGCCCACCTTGGTGAGCTCGGCCTGCACCGATTAAACAGACCACACCCACTCTTAAAGAAACCACACCCACTCTTAAAGAAACCACACCCTCTCTTAATGAGACCACACCCACTCTTAAAGGGACCACACCCTCTCTTAATGAGACCACACCCACTCTTACAGAAACCACACCCACTCTTAAACCACACCCTCTCTTAATGAGACCACACCCACTCTTAATGAGACCACACCCACTCTTAATGAGACCACACCCACTCTTAATGAGACCACACCCACTCGTAATGAGACCACACCCACTCTTAATGAGACCACACCCACTCTTAATGAGACCACACCCACTCTTAGTGAGACCAATGTCTTAGAGACCACACCCACTTCTCAAGAAGCCACACCCACTCTTAAAGAGACCACCCCCAAGAAGCCACACCCCCTTAACGAGACCACACCTACTCTTAAAGTGACCACACCCACTTTTGAAGTGATCCCACCACTCTTAAAGGAGCCACGCCCCCATTAAAGGACCCACACCCCTCCAAGCCATACCCCCAGGGTTTTTGGCCCCGCCCACCGAGGCGAGGCCCCGCCCACCTTGTTGATCTCGGCCTGCACCGCTTAAACAGACCACACCCACTCTTAAAGGGACCACACCCTCTCTTAATGAGACCACACCCAAAGTGATCCCACCACTCTTAAAGGGCCCACGCCCCTCCAAGCCACGCCCCCGGGTGTGTGGCCCCGCCCACCTTGTTGATCTCGGCCTGCACCGCTTAAACAGACCACACCCACTCTTAAAGGGACCACACCCTCTCTTAATGAGACCACACCCACTCAAAGCGGGACCACACCCTCTCTTAATGAGACCACACCCAAAGTGATCCCACCACTCTTAAAGGGCCCACGCCCCTCCAAGCCACGCCCCCGGGTGTGTGGCCCCGCCCACCTTGTTGATCTCGGCCTGCACCTCGCGCAGCTTGCGCTTGTAGCGCTGCACGTCGCCCTTGAGCTGGTGGTTGTGGTTCTGCAGCGAGCTGATCAGGTGCCGCATCTCGCGGTTAATGGGGCCTGCGGGGCACGACGGGCCGGACAGGTGAGACACGACAGGGGAGACAGGGGAGACACAGGGGAGACAGGTGAGACACAGGTGAGAGACAGGTGAGACACAGGTGAGAGACAGGTGAGACACAGGTGAGACAGGGGAGACACGACAGGGGAGACATGACGGGTGAGACAGGTGAGACACGACAGGTGAGATAGAGCAGGTGAGACAACAGGTGAGACAGGTGAGAGACAGGTGAGACACAACGGGGAGACACAACAGGTGAGACAACAGGTGGGACAGGTGAGAGACAACAGGTGAGACACAGGAGAGACAGGTAAGACAGGTGAGACACAACAGGCGAGAAAGGTGAGAGACAACAGGTGACACAGGTGAGAGACAGGTGAGACAGGTGAGAGACAACAAGTGAGACAGGTGAGACACAACAGATGATACAGGTAAAAGACAACACGTGAGAGACAACAGGGGAGACACAGCAGAGACAGGAGAGACAGGTGAGACACAACAGGTGAGACAGGTGAGAGGTGAGACGGGAGACAGGTGAGATCGCACAGGTGAAATAAGTGAGACAAGACAGACAGGTGAAGGTACACAGGTGAGACAGGTGAGAAACAGGTGAGACACAGGTGTGACAAGGGAAATCACACAGGTGAGACAGGAGAGACAGGTGAGAGACAGGAGAAAGACACGTGACACAGGTGGGACAGGTGAGAGAAGTGAGACAGGTCAGAGACAGGTGACACAAGGGACACAAGTGAGACACAACAGGTGACACAGGTGAGACACGGAAACACAACAGGTGGGACACAACAGGTGAGACACAGGAAAGGTGAGGCAGGTGAGACAGGTGAGACACAACAGGTGAGACAGGTGAGAGACAGGTGAGACACAACAGGGGAGACACAACAGGTGAGATCACTCAGGTGAGATAAGTGGGACAGGAGAGTCAGGTGAGAGTGCACAGGTGAGACACGGGAGAAACAGGTGAGAGACAGGACAAAGACACGTGACACAGGTGAGAGGGGAAAGGTGAGACAGGTGAGATACAGGTGAGACAGGTGACATACAGGTGAGACAGGTGAGAGAGGGGAGACAAATCTGACACAAGAGAGACAGGTGAGAGCACACAGGTGAAACACGGGACACAGATGAGACGGGAGCGACAGGTGAGACACAGGTGAAATCAGCCAGGTGAGGACAGGTGAGAGATAACTGACACAAGAGAGACAGGTGAGACACGACAGGTGAGAGCACACAGGTGAAACACAGGACACAGATGAGATGGGAGCGACAGGTGAAAGGTGAAATCGGCCAGGTGAGTCAGGACAGGTGAGACAGGGTAGAGCACACAGGTGAAACACAGGAGAAACAGGTGAGAGACAGGTGAGACACATGGGAAACACAGGTGAAACACGGGACACAGATGAGACGGGAGCGACAGGTGAGACACAGGTGAAATCAGCCAGGTGAGTCAGGACAGGTGAGAGCACACAGGTGAGAGCACACAGGTGAGAGACAGGTGAGACACATGGGAAACACAGGTGAGACACAGGTGAGACACAGGTGAAATCAGCCAGGTGAGTCAGGACAGGTGAGACAGGGTAGAGCACACAGGTGAAACACAGGAGAAACAGGTGAGAGACAGGTGAGACACAGGTGAAATCAGCCAGGTGAGTCAGGACAGGTGAGACAGGAGAGAGCACACAGGTGAGAGACAGGAGAAACAGATGAGAGACAGGTGAGACACATGGGAAACACAGGTGAGACAGGTGAGGCACAGGTGAGACATGGGAGACAAGTGCGATTACACAGATGACACAGGTGACACGTGACATCGCACAGGTGAGACGCGGCACGGACAGGTGACATAAAAATAACCAGTAAGAAACAGGTGAGAAAAGTGAGAGACAAACGAGGGACAGGTGAGACCGCACAGGTGAGGTGATGCCCGCCATGTGCCCCCAGCCACACCCAGGTGTGCCCAGGTACCCCCAGCTGCACCCAGGTGTATCTCAGGTGCCCCAGGTGTATCTCAGGTGCCCTCAGGTGTATCTCAGGTGTATCCCAGGTGTATCTCAGGTGTATCCCAGGCGTATCTCAGGTGCCCCAGGTGCCCCAGGTGCCCTCACCCGCCTGCTCGTTGGCCGCCAGGTTCTGCTCGAACTCGATGCGCAGCCAGGTGTATCTCAGGTGTATCCAGGTACCCCACGTGTGCCCAGGTGCCCCAGGTGTGCCCAGGTGTATCTCAGGTGTATCCAGGTACCCCACGTGTGCCCAGGTGCCCCAGGTGTGCCCAGGTGTATCTCAGGTGTATCCAGGTACCCCACGTGTGCCCAGGTGCCCCAGGTGTGCCCAGGTGTATCTCAGGTGTATCCAGGTACCCCACGTGTGCCCAGGTGCCCCAGGTGTGCCCAGGTGTATCCCAGGTGTATCCAGGTACCCCAGGTGTGCCCAGGTGCCCCCAGGTGTATCTCAGGTGTATCTCGGGTGTATCCAAGTACCCCAGGTGCCCCAGGTGTGGCCAGGTGTATCTCAGGTGCCCCAGGTGCCCCAGGTGCCCTCACCCGCCTGCTCGTTGGCCGCCAGGTTCTGCTCGAACTCGATGCGCAGCATCTCGTACTCCTTGCGCACCTGGGCCAGCGTGTCCTCGAGCTGGATCACCTCGGTGCGCAGGCGCTTCTGCACGCCCAGCTCGTCGCTCTGAAAGCCCAAATTCACCTCGCTACCGCTGGGAAATTCGGGGGAAATCCGGGAAGTTTGGGGATTTTTTGGGAATTTTTTGG